TCTCTCTCTCTCTCTCTCTCTCTCTCTCTCTCTCTCTCTCTCTGTGTGAAGATTACCCTTCCCCCTCGCGCCCCACCCCCGTCCTCCTCCCTCCCAAGACGATTTTGGGTGGACTTCAGTGAAAAATGACAGTGAAGTTATATAGAAAAAGAACGCACCTGGATGTGCAGATGCGCAGGTGCATGAACTGCACCTGGACATGCAGGCGCCCAAGTGCAGTCTGACAGAGCTAGTTTCGTCTTTGCAAACAGATTAGGCAGGCTATTTTTGTCCTTCACCTTACTGAACGAGGGGGATGTAGGGAAACAACCCGGTAGGTACGGGAACGCGGAAAACTGACCTGTCAGAATGCACCTGGACGTGCTGACACCCTGGTGCATGCATGCACGTGGACGTACAAATAACCATGTTTCCATTCTGACGGGGCTCGAGTTACACTTTCCGATGCTTACGAAGCTGAGGGCTGGGGTATATTCACACGAGGGCTTTCCTGGAGGTATCTGACCGCAATTAAAAGCGATTGCGCTTTGTATCTGACTCCAATTACGTCCAGAGGTGCGTCCAAAAAGTCCTAGTGTAAATAAAATTGGAAAAAAAAAAAAAAAAAGTCCTAGTGTGAGTGTGTCCTGAGGGCTGTTTCAACGAGACTCCGGTGACAGATCTCTTGACAACCGTCGATGTACCAATTGTGAATCACTCGCAGCGACGACGATGCCGACAGCCCACAGCTACTCAAGGGCGAAGCCTAACCAGTCCCTTTGTAGTAAAAAACAAAACAAAAAAAAAAAGAATCTAATGGTATTTACAGCAGCGAGGACGATGCCGACGGCCCACAGTGCTCGCAGTCCTACTACTCCCTTTTTTTAATTACTGTATTATTCTAGGCTACCAGAGTGGCCCGGGTCCACTTGCCCGGCTGGGCCAAAAAGAAATAAAAAAACAAAAAATAAATATATTTTTTAACTAGGCTACCAGCCGGGCCGCCCGGGTCCCGGGTGGCCAGCCCGTGCAAGGACCACGGAAGGTCCCAGCAAAAAAAAAAAAAAAACGATTCCAAAAAATCTGAAGCAAAACTATGTTATGCAGAAAAATAAACTAAACAACTTTTGCCTCAGGGTCACGTCGAAATTCTTCGCCAACTTTGGAATACAAAATAAAATATAAAATAATTGTTTTATTTTTAGTTTTAGTTTTTTTGGACCGGCCGGGCAAGTGACCCCGGGCCACTCTGGTAGCCTAGTTTTTTAATTTAAAATTTTATTTTAAATTGGGTAAAAAATTTCGATGTGACCCTGAGGCAAAAGTTGTTCACTTTATTTTTCTGCATAACATAGTTTGTTTTCGGAGTTTTCGGATTTTTGTTTTTTGTTGTTTTGGCTGGGACCTTCCCTGGTCCTTGCACGGCCGGGCCGCCCGGAAAAATAGGGTGATCTGGGCGGCCCGGCTGGTAGCCTAGGTATTATTACTATTATATATTATGATTATTTAAACTAAGCTATATTCTTCTCTCAACTCCTCCGGCTCCCTTTGTATAAAATTGAAAGATTACAAAAATACCCCTTTGGGCATTTAACTTTGATGCTCCTGGCCGCAATTTCGACGTGTTTTCAACCGAAATCCTCTGGCTTACCGTGTTCCCGCCAGTAGAACCTGACGATTTCGGTTTAAGAAATCGCTGAAATTGCGGCCAGAAACGTCAAAGTTAAATGCCCAAAGAAGTAATTAACAACAACAGTAGCAGTAAAAGCCACCAACTTCCCCCGAACATAATGCAACCTGAGTCCTTCGGGACATCCGTTAAAATTGGAACGATACAGATAAGATTAGCATGGCCCCTGGAAAAAAAAAAAAAAAAAAAAAAAAAAAAAAAAAAGTGATAACGATTGTATACAAGCTATATTTCAGGTCAGGTGCAGCCAAAATAGGGTTGCGTTGTGTTCGGGGGAAGACGGTAGCGGTACTTACAGCGACGACGATGCCGACAGCCCAGAGGTACTGCAGGACGAATCCCAACCAGTCCCATTGCTCTCCTTCCCAGAAGTCCGGCTCGTCGCCGGGCAATTTCGGCCGCACGAAGGGCTCCTTCTCCTCCTCCTCCTCCTTCTTCTTCTTCTTCTTATCCTCCTCGTCTTGCACATTTGGCGACGGAGCACGTGTGGCGCGCAGTACGAATCCCCGCCTCTCCCTTTCAGCAGCCATAAGCCATGGGCTCACGGCGCGCAGCGAGCATTTCGTCTCCCCGCCAAAAGAAAGCCTGTTTTCCGCGTTCCCCTCGTGCCCGCCACTTCCTCCGACGATCACCCGCCGCCGCCACACTGACGCTTTTTCGGATCCCGCCAAAACGCCCCCCTTTTTTACAAGATCATGATGGGAAACATCCTCCAGACCGCTGCGGCGGTGAAAACTGTGCGACGCTGGCAACTCCTGTGAGCGGCAATTGAAGACGGCATTCGTCGCGATCGGGAAGCTAGGTCGGGAGCCCCTCTCCACCCCTCGTAAACCGCAACAAGGAGCGCATTGCTGGACACGCGTCCATCTCTGGACTGCCGTTTCCGACCCCCGTTCGATACCCGGTAGGCAAAGAGAATCCGCGGTCTGCCACACGTCAGCTCTCAGTGCCGTCGCAGCGCCTGCCATGCTGGACGTCAGGTCTACCACCTCCGTGCTCTCTTTCCCACTGCTACGGGACAAGTCGACTACGTTCCCTCCCTATGCATGAGCGGGATGAACGGGATGAGCGGGACTAAACCCCTCCCCAGCGCCCGAGCGCTCTCTTCAGCCTCGGCCACAAAAGACAAAAGACAGCAGCAGGTGCTGCCGTGGCGAAACAACAGATTTCCCCTTAGCTCGCCACCCGCTAACATCCCGCCCTGCTGGAGTGGATCACACCGGTAACGAAGTTCGCATTTGCCCCTCTGGCTTCCAAATGAATTTGCCGTTAGCCCCTCTTTTTGCCGTTCCTTGAGGAAAGGGTAGAGTTCGGATCTGGATACCCCATTTGCCCCTCCTTTGGACCATTCAGCCTCGTGGACTACGGTAGACACCCCCTTTGCCCTTGGTTAAACCACCATTCGCATTTGCCCCTCTGGCCTCCAAATGAATTTGCCGTTAGCCCCTCTTTTTTCCTTTCCTTGAGGAGGGGTAGAATTCGGATCTGGATACCGCATTTGCCCCTCCTTACATGTCTGGACCATTCAGCCTCGTGGACTACGGTAGACACCCCCTTTGCCCTTGGTTAAACCACCATTCGCATTTGCCCGTCTGGCCTCCAAATGAATTTGCCATTCGCCCCTCTTTTTGCCTTTCCTTGAGGGGGGGAAGAATTCGGATCTGGATACCCCATTTGCCCCTCGTTACATGTGTGGACCATTCAGCCTCATGGACTACGGTAGACACCCCCTTGGCCCTTGATTGAACCACCACTACTTCCAAGGCGCTTTTCTCCGGGGCTGGAAATGACCTGCGTGCCAAAGAAAAAGGAACTGGCGCGGGGATCCTTTTGGGTGGTGCCGCCAGCCATTTTGCTCCAGCGGCCAGTTGAGGCAGCATGCAAGCCGCAACTTCGAAAACATACCCGAGATACATACTGGTGGTTTGAATGTATGAACCATTAGGCCACACCAGGACTGGGGGGCCGCTAGTTGAGGCAGCATGCAAGCTGCAACTTTGACATGCAAGTTGCAACTTCAAAAACAGAATGTATCAACCATTCAACCACACCGACTGGGGGGTTGAATTTGTGAACCGTTCGGCCACACCGGGGCTCGATACCCCAAGTGCCCCTCTAACCGGGGTGTTATACAGAAGACGAAGGTTTTCTTTTTTTTTTCTTCTTTTTTTTTTTCTTTTTTTTTTGAGAAACATATGTAGCTGATGTGGAGGGGGTGCTGATAAGAGTAGACATCCCTACACCATTCCTGCTTCTTGGATGGCTCCATCTATTTGGGGCAGCTGCACCTGCTGGAAACCGGGTCCAGTGTCCCTTCACATGCTGAATCATGGAGCCAAAGTTACAAGCCTGAAGATTGCAAGTCGTTATATGGGCACAGGCCACTCTTTATCTGCTCATGCACAAAAGCTGCTCTTGGCCTTAGGGGTGGTTGCTTGCAGCACCCGTAAGTCTACCAGTACTCTAACTACCTAAACGCTTCGTTAGTGGTAGCTCAAGCAGAGCATCCACAACACTAGTGGTAACTCAATGGATTAATCATTGTTGGAAACAGGTCGCATTTTGTACAAGGTTTGCAAGGTCAGCACATCCATATCCTTTATGGTCTGTTCGGCCATATATATCCGCCAAAACACTTTTGGGGCTGCAGCTGTATGTCACTAACAGCACCACACCAACAACCATTCGACTTTGCAGCCAACAGTATGAGGCAAGAGTTGGAGCATGCTTTGTCCTCTTCCCTCAATTACTTGTGCATCGTTTTGTTTTGTTTTTTATCTCTCTCTCTAACATTTTTTTTTGCCCCTTTCTTCTCTTCTTATTTATCTATCTAGGTTTTTTATCTCGCATATACACATCAAAATTTATTACTATCCAAGCTTACAATAACTTTACGGAGCCCAATGAATTAAAAAAAAAAAAAAAACAATATTTTTCATGTCTCATTTAATTTAAAGGGTTTTACTTTAAGACTTTTTGAGATTTAATGTTTCATATAATGAAGAACATTGTGTGCATTCAAGTTTTCCATCTCCATAACATGTCTCATAGAGTATTTGTTATGCATTGAAAGTATTTGTCATTTGCAAAAATAAAATTTAACCAATCTAGCGACTCTCATTGTGAAAACAAAGTCATAAAACTCAACAAATATATGTTACATTTTTTTGTTAATTATAAAAGAGCATAAATTCTAGGCTACCAGCCGGGCCACCCGGGTCACCCATTTTTCCCGACGGGACGGACGTGCAAGGACCAGGGAAGGATTAGCCAAAAAAACAAAAAAAAACGAAAAAAAAACTATGTCATGTAGAAAAATAAACTGAAGAACTTTTGCCTCAGGGTCATTTATTGGGACCAGGACCTGTCCTTTGGTTACCCAGGTACCGGAACCGGTAAAAACCGGCTACCGACGTATCAGGTCGGAGGGACAGATAGCAGGAACAGGCTGTCAGACGGTGTCATTAGTGGTTTTTAGTGTGGACCTTTAGGTTGTCGTATGGGTCAGTGTGGTTTGGTGTGCTACCGACGGTGCCTCGAAGCAAAGTTGGAGGAGATTATGTTGACCTATGGATAAATACCTTTTGGGGAACGCAATACTCCTCTTTCGCCGGGTGAAGGCGATGCGATGCAGGGGTGATGGGTAGAACGTGTCGTCATTTTCGGCGGCATGGGCTGGATCGATGGGTAGGAGGTGGATATGTCGTCATTTTTGGCGGCAGGGGTTGTCGTATCATTTATCACCTATCATCTTGCGCTTCATGTTTGACCATTATTAACAGCCACGTGTTAACGTGAGTCTGTTTCGAATAATTGATGATGCTTTGATAAACAGCTTATGGTCTCTACCAGTGTGTTGTACTGTGTGCTTGCCATGCAGTCATTGAATTTCCTATCACTTAGGGTCGTAACCATCTAGGAAATCATACCTAGCGGAGGTGGCGACTTTATCTTGGCCAAAGGGAGTCAAATTGAGCAGGAAGACGCAGTGATAAGATTTGGGAGATGAGGGATGACACAAGGAGTAAGTGAAGCAACGCGAAGGGGTTATAGCTTTAGCATTGGGCGAGCAACAAGTTTTGAAGTGTTGATGATAAGTTGTAGAGAAGAGAAAGTGAGATAGAAATCGCGGAGTGAACGAAGTTATTGGAAACATGGAAAGAGGAAGTGGGGGAGCACCTCAGGACACCCGGAAATGTTACAAATGTGGAGAAGGGGGTCATTTCATCCACGATTGTGCTGAGTACTGGCAAGTGAAGGCCCTTGGACGAGCGTTTGTGCCATCAGCACAAACAGCGGCTCCCGCACGCACGGGAAGAACGAATGCGATTGGCGTAAATTCGATGGTTCGAAGGAGCAGATCCATGGAAAGTGCTAGAGAAAGGAGTGAAGCCAGGGAGGATATGAACACACTGATGCGAGATTACTTCATGCAGATGGCGGAGGAACGGAGGCTCCGTGTGGAACGGGAGGCTGAGGAAACAAGGCGACGAAGGGAGGAGGAAGAGCGACGACTACGTGAAAGCAAGAGAGTGCAGAGACAGGAAGAACATATGAGGCTTGAAGAGGAGCAAGACGCGAAATTACTCAGGATAGTAAGAAGTGAAATGAGGAAAGACAGAGATGACGAAAGGGAGAGATATGAGAGAAAGGAGAAGGCGGTAGCCAGGACAGGTAGCCGAAACGAGGCAGCGCAGGCTGAGAAAGAGCGATTGAGAAGGTTGATTGCAGCGAAGTCCATCGGGCCTGACGCAGAGGAGGAGGATGAAGAGCTACTTGCGCTAAGAATGATGACTATTAATTTGAATATAGCGGAGAAGCAGAAACGGGGACCGGAGATGGCGGTCGGAAACAACCCGCCTCTGGTTACGCCGGAGAAGAGATCCAACTTGAAGTTGACTGAAAAATCGAAGACACGAATTGAGCAACTCCGGAGCGACCTGACCACGGATACCGGGACGACAAGCACACCTGGGAGGATTGATCTTTCGCTCAAGCACATCTCAGCATCATGTGGCATTGGAGGGAAGGAGAAGTTCGAGGAGGAATGTCAGGATTTCTACGATGCTTTGACCATCGACGAAATTAAAGAGGCTTGGCGAAGGGAGAAAGTGGCGTATGGGAACCGGGAGTTGGCCATCAAAAGACTGGTGATCCGAAGATCGGCGGTTGCATACGACCCGTCGAATATTCCGCTACCATCGACACCGCGTACAAAGACCAGAAGTGATAGAGGAGTCATCATCAGGGAAGCCAAGAAGGAGGACGACATCCCGGCTCCTTCGGATTCTGAAGCGTCATATTCTGAAGACGAGTCGGACTGAGGAGTTTGTCGTCGCGACGACTACCTGGGAGTAGCTGAAAGATTTTGTCACCGTAAACTTCGAAGTGATGGTAAGTGTAGGACGGACGAGGGGACATTACGTGCTGCTGTGATTGGTTTGATCTTGGAAGGGCGTCTGAAATGGGGTGAGAGGTTTATCGAGTACTGGCGTGATGAAGTGGAAAAAGGCAATTTTGATATATCGGAACCTAGGAGTTGCGTATATGTACTAATATCTCCTTGGTATAAGCAGACATACATAGGGCTGACAGAGAGAGGGTTATGGGAACGATGGCGGAAGCACTTTAGGCATGGGAAGAAGGGATGTAAGCGAATGAGACGATTGTACAATTGGCTTCGAAAGGTGGGTTATCACCAATATGTCGCCTTGCCTCTATTCACTAGCGATGACAGAGCTGAACTAGAAGCGGTTGAGAGCACTCTGATTAGACACTGGTCACCAGCGCTCAACGTTAGAACAGTGAAAGTAAGGAAAGCCCCTAAGAAAGCCAGACGGAGACCGGGAAGGAAAGAGAGGAGGAAGTGGCACGAAGACGGGGGTCAGAGGAAGATAGAATTCAGGAAGGATACCAGGAAGATTTTGGAGATTCGCTGAGACAGTTAAAATCGTTGACTTACTGCGGAAAGTAGGCAAACAGAAAGGGGAGTTAGTCTTACACTGTAATGGAGGGAAGATCTGGGTTGACGGTTGGCGTGTAGTACGCAGGCTCTTCAGGGAAAGCCGAGTGAAGCTCGGTGATGGGACCAAGCCCCTACGTAGTTGTAAACATGCCTTTGAAAACGAAGGACAAGTCACGGTTAAAAAAGTTACGAAGGCCTCGCTAACGGCCCTAGCCCTACGGGACGAGATGATCGGGATGTTTAAGAACTCGCGCAGACTCAAGGAGCTGAAGTCAAGGAGTCTGGTGGAACTAGCCAGATATTATTCTGCGGTTAAAACGTTTACAACGAAGAAGAGTAGGTGTAAGGCGAGAACGATGGTATCCAGGGTGATTTGGGAGAGTTTTGGTGTAAGTATCAGGGCAAGGATTATCACGAAGGTACAGTTCGATGAGAGGATAAGAAAGAGTGAGGTTATGAGGGTGGTGCTGAGGAAAGTGGGAAGCATGCAGATTGAAGCACCATTAAAGGAAATGATAAAGCGTCGAGCACGTGTTGTATGGAAGAGATGACCGAACGTGGATGACATTTTTCACAACCACCGGCAATTTGCGTCGGTGTGTGCGTCCAGCTGCCCTTGTGCTGGACTGCCCTACCCAAAGAGGAACGGGAACGTACATCTTCGGATCGGTGACCTGAATGGTGTGTCGCGGTGAGCTTGTAATGCAAAGAATGTACCGAGATGCGATTTGATCAGAGGGATAGGCTACTCGTGAAGGAATTGACTATAGCAATTGGGAGTTGGAGTGAGACCTCGGGGCTGAGCAGGGAGAACTGTGAGATTACTGTTGAGGAAGTCAAAGATTGCTTCGTGGGAGGCAAACGGCAGTCTCAAGACAATGGTCTCGAAGAGATTTTGGCATTAAAAAAGAGATTGAGTGGGTTGGTGCTCGCGCCACTGGACAGGAACCCAAGTGACACGCTTGTGCTGTGTCCACGATTGTACAGTGCTGGTATGGAGGAGACCTTTTTTACCAACGAGGGATACCGGATCTGTACAGACAGCGAGCAGGAGATCCTGGTCAAGGCAAAACAGGAATATGAAGCACGAGGATTGGCGAGTCAGGGCAAATGGAATCCGAAAGGTGAAATCGGTGAGGCATATGCGTTACCGAAGCATAAGGATACAGGGAACTTGAAGTACTGCCTGATTTGCCCCACAATGAATGAACCACTGGTGGTGGTGACATGCAAACTCGTGGCAAAAGGAGTCAATTGTCTCCTGTTTTCGCTACCAGAGTCCGGGCATTTGAACTTCTGGTCAGTGTCTAAGATGAAAGGGAAGCTGTGTGCTATGAATAACCGTTTGGGGAAGAGTAGACAGAATGTTGGGATAATAGGAGCTTCATTCGACATCAAAGACATGTTTAACCGCTTGCCTCATGCGACTATCATGTCTGCGATGGAGTGGGTAGTCTGGTGGTTTAAGGAGAAAGGGTACGATGGAGTTTTCGTTCGAAGAAAGGGAAAGGGAGCTTGACTAAGCAAGATGAAATGTTTGATTGGTTACTCGTTTTTTCCGTTCGAATTCTTGCTTGATTTCGTATCCTTTGAGTTGGAATTCTGTTTTACGAAAGCCTGCAGAATCCTGATCCAACAGGTGATTGGCATACCAATGGGTAAGAGTTCGAGTCCCCCGTTGGCATGCCTCATGTGCGCAGAACATGAATGGGATTTCATGATTACCCTTGGTAATCAGAAGAAGACATTTGCAGGGCTACGTTTCGTAAATGATGTTTCCGTTTTTGCAGCATTTAACAGGAAGAAAGCAGGGGACGGGGAGAGGGCTGAGGAGATGTTGAAACATTTCGAACAATGTTACGACCAAACTCTGACATTGAACGAACAGACGATGGTGAGGATAAGTGGAATTTTTTGGGTTGGTAGCTGTCGATTAATCAGAGGTTCCTGTTTCTGGAGGTTGTACAAGTAATGAAGAACGATCAGCAACTACGAAACGGAGGCTTGCCTCCATTTCGTACTTTCCAAGACTTTGAATCTTGGAACTGCAAACAGGCAAAAATGCCCACAATTGTGAGTGCTCTCCACATGATTGAGCATAACTCACAGATGGGGATGGAACTTCTGGATACCATGATTTTGCTGAAAAAGGAGTTCAGGAAGGGTAACTATCCGCGACATTGGTTTGGAGCGACCCTGCGAAGCCTTAGCAGAGGGAAGGATTCGAGGTGGAAACTGCTCACTTTGGTGTTGGCAGATAGGGACTTTGTAAGATTGTAGGTCGGAGTTTGTCGTTGTGCTTGTGCAAGTAAGACTGTGGATGCATGAATGCTATGATTGTTTTGCTTATATGTGAGTAGTAAAAATCCGTGGGCGTCTGTTTATTAGGACCAGGACCTGTCCTTTGGTTACCCAGGTACCGGAAACCGGTAGAAACCGGCTACCGACGTATCAGGTCGGAGGGCCGAATAGCACGAACAGGTTGTCAGACGGTGTCATTAGTGGTTTTTAGTGTGGACCTTTAGGCCGCCGATGGGTCAGTGTGGTTTGGTGTGCTACCAACGGTACCTCGAAGCAAAGTTGGAGGAGATTACGTTGACCTATGAATAAATACCTTTTGCGGAACACAATACTCCTCTTTCGTCGGGTGAAGGCGATGTGACGCAGGGGTGATGGGTAGAACGTGTCGTCATTTTCGGCGGCATGGGCTGGATTGCTGGGTAGGAGGTGGAAATGTCGTCATTTTTGGCGGCAGGGGTTGTCGTATCATTTATCACCTATCATCTTGTGCTTCATGTTTGACCATTGTTAACAGCCACGTGTTAACGTGAGTCTGTTTTGAATAATTGATGATGCTTTGATAAACAGGTTATGGTCTCTACCAGTGTGTTGTACTGTGTGTTTGTCGTGCAGTCATTGAATTTCCTTCCTCAGGGTCATATCTAAATTCTTTACCAATTTTTAAATTAAAAATAACATTAAAATTTACTATTAATTTATTTATTTATTTTGGCCCGGGCGGGCAAGTGGTCCCGGACCACTGTGGTCGTCTAGCATAAATTTAAGAGAGGTCGTTAACGGATGCCTCAATCTCCAGACAACTTCTCATACTGTTTGTAACAACGTCCAAGAGACATTTTAACCAAACCTGCCACCAATTCATAGAGTGGAGATCGTACTAACTATTTAAAAAAAAAAAAAAAAAAACTATAAAAACAACAAGGTAAAAGTGCACTTTCATAAAATTTCGGCAAGATTCAAATTTCGAAAGTCTTGAAAATTTCCAAAAATCTCATCAGACGAAATTCCAATGGAAGAAAATGATACAAAATTTGTGATATAACAACCATAAACGTTAAAAAAAACAGGCAAAAACAAAAAACAACGTACAATTCGACCCCCAAATCCTAATTTAAGTTTTAGACCCGTTACTTAGGAGATGAAAGTAAGGGTCCTCGTTAACCACTTGTTAAATTTAATCTGTATAGGTTATTAACTGGTTGAACCAGCGTGGACTACCGAGGTAGTCCGACCGAACAAAGGTCATACAAAATCCCTATATAAAATATATATATATATATGTTACACTAAATAATAAACAAAAAATCTTTTGTCTTATAATTACTCCAAAATTATTTTAAGAATTATGGCCCCAACCTCCAAACGTTCAACTTCCCTTTGAGGACAGTTCCAAGTTCAATTGAACCGAAGAAAAAAAGAAACAATGTTGTACACTAGACCACAAAGTACTTGATTGATTGACTGATATATTGATCATTGATTGATTCCTTGATAGGAAAATAAAAATGAAAACATACTCTACACCAGGGGTGCCGGCATTCGGGATGGGCCAAACGCCTGAACCCGAACGCCCGAACGTACGGGACCCCTTCGGCCGAACGCGAAAAAAAAAAAAAAAAAAAAAAAAAAAAA